TTGCGTGTACAGCGTACTGTCCTTTGGGCACTTGATCACAAGACGTCAAGCCTGATTCGATGCATAGCTTTGCAGCAAGAAAGGGACGAGCGGCAATGGATGGATCATTGAGCTTTTCAGCCGGCACCAAGAGGCAAGCACCATTCGACTCCCTAAACCCTAAACCTTAAACCCTAAACCCTAAACCCTAAACCCGAAACCCTACCAAGTGCCCTAACTACATCCTCGAACGCAAAAGCCTCAGTTCTCTAGACCTTGAGGCTCTCAAGTAGCCCGAGGAGTATCCAACAACCTCGCAACCCTTTTCCCTTGGAGCCCACCCTAATTCCCCGTTCGCTCACCAGTTTTGAATTATCTCACATCCCCGGCCCCCAATTTTAAAGTCCCGAAGCCAACCCTAGATCCGTGGGTAACTAATTATTATGTCCCATATGAGAGGGCTTATGACCCTACTAACTACCCATGAACCTCCTAAATCCTAAACCCAAAACCCTAAACCCGTACAAGTACAAGAAGTCCCTAAACCCTAAACTCTAAACCCTAAACCCTAAACCCCCTAAACGTCCTTCGCAGGATGTGCTCGAGAAAGCTCGGAGCCTCCTACGGTCCTGAGGGCTCGAGCTCGCAGAGCATGTAAATGAAATCGGCCGGCACGAACGATGGTTTAAAGGATCCTAAATCCTAACTTAAACCTTAAACTGGAACCCCCAATCCCTAAACCCTAAGCCCTAAACCCCAAACCCCTAAACCCTAGTATTTCAAGTCGATCGTAGGGTTTAGGGAAACAGGTGCTTTACTTCGAGGTTCCTGCGTAGGGTAGTTCCTAGGTAGGGTTACACGTCATAAAGTCATAAAGTACAGCACTTATAGGCTTTACAAGCAGTTCTATCCGTAGATCGGAAACCCTAAGGCCTTACGGACAACACTTCGTCCCAGAGGGTCCGAAGTACCTGCGAAGTAGAATGTAAGGGTTTCTAGCAGGAATCACGATGATTTGGGGAAGGTATCCCCTGTAACTCTAGTACCCTTTGGGTGTGAAGCCTCAAGGCCCTAAACCCTACACCCTAAGCCCTCAACCCCTAAGACCCTAAACCCTAAGACCCTAAGACCCTAAACCCTAGGACCCTAAGACCCTAAACCTTTTAGACTCTAAGACCCTAAACCCTAAACTCTAAGACTCTAAGGCCCTAAGCCCTAAACCCTAAACCCTAAACTAACCCTAACGTCTTCAGTGCACCGGTCTAAACTCCCAAGGCTCCACCCCGAACTTGCGCTGCCGAATCTCTACTTGGGTAGTTGTCAAAATTTTTGGTCCCTTTTGGGGTACCCTAAATAATAGGTGCCGTATTATAATAAGGACCCAAAAAGAGACCATCATTTTGACAACCACCCACTTTAGGGTTTAGGATGTAGGGTTTAGGAACGGCCAACAAATAACCCTAAACCCTAAACCCTAAACCCTGAACCCTAAGCGACTACGCCAATAAGCCCCCCTCAAGACCTAGAGCCCAAAGCCTCGAAGACTTTAAAACGGTCCGAAGCTTTGGAAGTCGGCTTTCACCTTACTGGTTTGGGTTTCGGGTTTAGGGTTGAGGGCCGGGGGTTCAGTGCATAGAGGGTTTCAGGGTTTAGGCTTTAGGGTTCAGGGTCTTTGGTTCAGGGGTTAGTGACAGCTTGCAGTCAGACGTGCGGAAAGACTTCAAAGGGACGCCTACACCCTAGACTCGCAAGACGAATTAGGCTTCATGGGTTTGGGTATAGCGTTGAGGGTTTGGGTTTTGGGTTTACGCTTTAGGGTTTGCACCCCTGCAGTCTAGGCTGTTTCGCAGAGCTTCAACGGGTTAAGCTCTACTTTAACCCCGGGTAACCTAACTTTTTCAAGGGCTTATATGCGGAAGCTACAAACCCTAAACCCTAAACCATAAACCTAAACTCTAAACCCGAAACCCCAAACCCCAAACCCTAAACCCCAAACCTTAAACCTTAAACCTATAACCCTAAACCCTAAACCCCAAACCTTAAACCTTAAACATTAACCCTAAACCCTAACCCCC